TCACAAAAAAATTCTCTACGATTTCATAAGACAAAATAACAAATTTTTTTTTTGAAAATTCTTGGACACTGGTGCGTGACTCCAGATTTGGGCCTTGGACCCTGAAAGGGTTAACTAGGATATAAACCCTCCCCTCAAACATCTCCTTACCAACCTCAACAGAACACATGACCATAACACAAGATACAGATCACTCTTTGATGTTCCTCGTGTCCATCTCACACTATGCAAAAACTCAATTCACATAAAAGGCCCAAAAATCTGGAATTCATTACCTGTGAATATAAAAGAAACACTGTCTGTTATAAATTCAAAGTCTCTTACCCTTAACCCTTTGAATGTTTCAGGCCCCTCTCTGAAACTGTATTTATGTCGCCAAATATTCGAAAAAAAAAAAAAAAACAAATTTTCTTATGAAAATGTTTAGGATTTTACTAGTGTTTTTAAGCTAAAAAAAATTTTTTCCACAGTACTTACCGAGATATAGAGCGCAAAAGTTTGCAGAAATTGACGTGCGTCGGCAACAGCGGCGACTGCCGCCCACCCGGTATCTTTTATTTACTCTAATTCAAAGGTTTCTTGCCATTTTTCAATATTTTTTTTTTCCAGGTAACTTATGTTGGCCTGTGAGACCAATGTAAGGTGCATTGTTCTATACAAATATACACTCATTATTTACAACACAATAACAGAACAAACTTTATCACTATTAGTTTGTGTATACCTTTGTTTACAGAAACAAACAATTACAAAAACAATGTTTATTACTATTGTTCCATAATTATTATACATATGTACAGTCACTAACCACGTTCCTAGAACTGTTGCCAGCTGTGGAACTCTTTGAAACATGGGTATATGCTGAGGGGCACTTCACACTCTCACACATAAAAGAGTGTCTCTGCGTGTTTGTGGGCGTTTTGTGGTATTGCATACATAACACACCTCTTCCTGAGCATTTTTTCTTGGCAGTGTCGGAGGCAGTTGTATGGGGTCTAGTGATCACAGTCTCATCGAGATGACGGCTGTGGGAGCTGGTCTATTGCAGAGTTGGCTCCTTGTACTTGCCAATTATTTGTCTGATTAACCTTTTTGCAGGACTAAATTCACCATTATTTTGGTGTTTTGTTGGTCTTCAACTTGTATATGATTATAAGCATTTAGATAGAGATATCAACAAGATGGAAAAAAAGTTTGATATACCACTTATAACTCTTGCGTACACCAGTCTGCAAACCAATCGCTGTCACATTTGTCCACTAAGCGGCACATTGAAGGTTGTAGTCCATGGACAGGTGCAGGCTTTAGAATGGGTTCATTGGTCTTCTCTATGTTGTCCCTGCAACTGGGTACCCATTTCGTTTCGGTGAATGTGTCAACAACGTGACATCCGTTTGTCATCGCCACCGAAAATGCCATGATGTCATTGAGCAAGCAAAGGCTTGCACCTCACCTCTGCGAGTGCCAGCGTCGAACTTGGCATATGTTTGCGATTACCCGCCACTGTGCCACACAGTTTCTGTCAAGTTCACTCGCAAGAAATCACTGAGTAAGGGGCCTTGTGTACCAGTTATCAGTAAAATAACATATGCCCTTACCAAAGATATGGTTTCCATCATTGTTCGAACACATCACCAGAGATACCGAATAACTTCATGGTATCTCTCAAAGTATTACTGCCAGTTGCACACAATAATATCTAACCCAAACAAGACCACTTTCTGCAATACACAGTACAAATAGCCTTTATACCAAAGCGTTTTCCTCTTGTACTTGGTATATATTGCTTGAATGAGAGTCTTCCTTTGAATAAAATCAAGGACTCATCAATAACAAGCTTCTGAAGGGATATATATAACATGCAGCACTTTTGTGTCATGTACATTAAACACATTTCTTATCTTATATAAACCTGTCGCTTCTGTCAGGCCTGGGGTTTTATTGAAAAGCGTAAACATTACGTAACAGTATCAGGAAAGATTGACACTATAATGTCACTAAAACTGGAGTTGAAAATCAGGCGATCTGTTGTCGTAGTTGGTGACAGTGTGCTTATACACACGTGGCATTAAGATATTGTGGCAAAAACATGTAACATCTCTGCCACAGTTGTCTCCTTTCCACTTGTGTAGCCGTGATTTTGGTGAGAGATTGTATTTGCCATGGTGTAATCAGTATGTGTTTGTTTCCCTGACAATGATGTCCATCAGGGGTCATCGGAGGATAACTCAAAGCAGTCAGTTCTCTGGCATTGTTCCCAAGTGGACAAGATGGCTTTATTCCACTTTGTGTTTCATCAAAGTCATAGGGACATGGGAAGAAACAAACTCGTCACGTCCTGCCAATCCCAGATGCGGTCTGCTGGTCGGGAGTCTGATATTGTACCGTGTTTGTGGTTGTGCAGTTGTTGTGTGTGTGGGTAGGTGGAGGCTGGTTGTTTGCTGAGTCAGCCGCGTGGTAGTAGGTGGCCAGTGATGGTGCCACCATGGGGCCGTCCACCCTCACTATCACCACCACTGCTCCTCCTCACTGTCACCATTCATACCCATCGTTACAATATCATAATCTTCACTATGGTGTAGGGCCACGGATGTGCTCCCAGAGTTCTCCTTCCCCTTGGTACAACATATGAAACATACCAAGACGCATGCTACGTCGTACATTTGCCGCTTCACTGGGGAATATTCACTCTCACTGTCACTTGCACTGCTTTTCAATGACTTGAAAATCACTTATCCAACTATCACTGCTTATCACAGGGTGTTGTACACGACCATATAGTTTCCTCTTTCGTCCTGGTACAGCGGAACGTGAACGTGACAAGCCGGCACAGCCACCAGAGGTCGAATGGGTTGTGGGTCATCTGGGTTTTCGTCACTATTTACGTTATCCTGGGGCACTTTTTTCGGTAACACTCACTTCAAAACCCTGGAATTCACTGTCACTGCATTTTCATCGCTGTTAGAGCTATCACTTGGGAATAAAAGACCTCCAATCCGACCGGGACGTGAGGAACTATCTTACCGCCCCCCACGCCCAAGGATGGTGAAAATGGACTGACAACATGGCGTTCCCACAATGCACGCTGGGGGTCCCAGATTTTTTTTCACAGGGTGCCACAACGACACTGACAACCCATTCTCTCCCGTGTAGGCCTACCAGGCCTTTGGCCCCGCTTGATTTGAAAGCCGCTTGAATTTGTGCGTATATAATACGTCAGAAACATTGTCGTAAGTCGTATTTCAACGTCGGAAAACAGTCAAAAGGGCGGTTTAAAAATCACTTACTCACCCACAACTAAATAAATATGAATAATTGTATCTCATAAATGTTTAACCTGTGACCCAATCAAAACTTTTGTTATTTTTAATTCATACCTAACAGAATACTCAATTCTTACGAATGCCACAGCAAAACAGTAAATGCACCATATGGCCTCGTATCTGAAAATCTCATTTGTGCTTAATTGTTATCTGTTTACAAACATGTTTTACCATGAATGTTTCATTGCTTAGTTAATCTTAAGTTAATTTTAAGCATGCCATAATGCTCTGCATAAAGGGTGCTTTGGTATGTTACACTTAACCCCTGTATTTTTTTGTACTTCAATTTATCATGTTCAAATTAAGAATTAAATAAAATAAATAAATTACGTAATGTTTTCCCTCCGCCAGGAACCACGCCTCATAGCATATAAACAGCAGTTTTATGCTATGTACGTGATTCTTATATAATTTTGAAGAAAATATCATTGATGGATTAATGAAAATGGTTATATTGAACGCAAAAATTAGACATTTAATGTGCCAAGAGTGATTATTTTTACAAATTGAGAGATGTGCTCATGGAGAATGTAAACAAACCGGGTGGCAGCCGCTATTGAAAGACCGCTTGCCGGTTGTAGAAAGTTTTTGCTCATAATTTGAGATTGCCGTGCTTAGCGGAACGCTGAAAAGCTGGCGGCCTTACTGTACCTATTCTGCCAAAACATCCACTTCCAAATATCTGAACACATTCACTTCTTCCATCTTCCTCCCTCCAATCTGATATTCTATTTTTCTTTCCCTAACTCATTTGATAACTCATAACCTTACTCTTACCTATGTTCACTTTAAATTCCTTCTTTACACAACCTCTTAAACTTGTCCACAAAAGCTTTGCAATTCTCTTCAGAAATGTCTCAAAAGCAGAATATCATTCAGCAAAAAGTACATATGTCAACTCCCATTTTGGATTTGAATACCACATTAATTTAATCCCCACTTTCTTCACAACATTATATGTATATTTTGAAATATATATATACACACACAAATACATTCATATTCAAATGCATAAATAAACAGTACAAATGTTTTAAACTGACCTGGAAAGCAAAGTTTTTAAATCAGAAGATAGCAACATGCAGGAGCAGAAATTAAGATTAAATATAATGAAAGCCTGTCACAAAAAAAGCAGCAATGGGGGGGTGACATTCCCTCACACAAAAAAGTTCGTTCCTCATGCCATGCCTAAACATAAAAATGCAGTAAGAGATGTTAAAAACGGAATTAGATCTATTTGTAGTGTATTTTAATCAGAGGATGATGGGAATGGTTTGAGCAATGGCATACAGTATATTCCTCTCATTTGATCTTGGATTTTAAGAAAATTCATTTTAGCCATTTTCTTTGTTATCATGGTCACAATGATCGTTTCATAGTAACTGGTTTTGTCGTTGTGCTTATGTGATTGGATTATCTTTTAACATAGGTGTGAGGGACCTATTTTGCAGAATGGCATGCTAACAGCAATAAATATGGTGGGGCGAGGGAGGGTACAAAGAGTGTAACATGTCTGTTTGCATTTTAAACAAGATCAAGCAAACACAAGAGCTATGTTTCAGACACTAAATATTCTACAGTAAAAGTTGGAAACCTACTTAGCTGACATTAATAGGGGCCTTCCACTTTCCAAATCCCCTCACCTGCAGGTCGAAGAGTCGGGAATAGGACACAGACACTGCAGAAGTTGGAACAGAAGTCAAATCTGATGTTGAATGAGAGTTGGAGGCGCCAACACCTAGAGGAGAAACTGGGGATGGGCTAATCGCAGTAGTTGGAAGAGAAGGGGGTCCTAGAGGAAGAGACTGGGTCCTGGCTGGTTGTGATTCTGAGGGGATGGACAACAGCAGTGGACCACCATTGCCTGGGTGCAGCACCATCACACGACTGTTGTTGTTAGTCCCACCAGTTGACTGAGACACAACCACCATGGTTGTGCCAGAATCGCCACCATGACCATTTAGCCCAAAATTCTCTCTGGAGTTTCCCACAATGTTGCTATCACTACCAACACTACCAATACCACCACAACTAACAACATTGTTATTTAATGCACTCTGCCCTGACACAATGACACTAGCTTCAGCAATATTTGTTAAAGCACTGTTGTCTCTTATAGCACCACCACCACAGGCTAAGAAGGGTGTTTTATCCAGCAGATATGCTGAGGTTCTAGAGGCTGAAGAGGCAGATACCTGGGAGGTGGCAAGATGAGGTGTCACCATCTGACGGAGAACCACTGTTCCACCAGTAGCAGTGGCAGCAGCAGCAGCAGCAGCTCCACCCTGGGCCTGTACCACGGATGCTGAGGTACCACCCACAGAAATAGCCACTGGTCGCCCAGTACGGGAGCTGCCAGTCAAAAGTTGAGCTCCTGTTACAGGTGAGACTATACTATTGCTACTACTACTACTGCTACTGGTGGCTACATTTTTGACAACAGTGATAGTCTGAAGCTGTGGTGTTGCCTGGACTACCAAGTGACTGTTATTGTTGCTGATGATGTTATTGCTATTGCTGACCACCACTGCTGTTGTTATTCCAGGACTGCTTGCAGAAGGTTTCACTTCTGCCAGCAGAGAAGCAGGAGACTTGAGCTGAGCTTGAAGTTGGTCCCTATTGGGGCTGTTTGCAATGACAGCTTGAACTATCTCGTAAGATCTTTGAATATTGATTCCTCCTGGAGTTCTGCTTTTTGTCAATTTCACAGTCATAGTCCCACTGCCTGTCATACCCTGGAAATTAATAGTACAATATATTTTTTCTATACATGACATAATTATTAATAAGAAAATCAATTCAGAACTGAATAACAAGAAATAAATTCTTAGTAGTGTATGTAATATATTTGAATGCCTCACATGTAGGCAATGTATGCTTATGAGCTTCATTATGAAACTTTATGTAACGTTAAAAACTTAAACAGGCAAAAAAATTTATTCGGAAACTGCCCGTGTCTTTCTTCGACTATCCAACTGAAACATGTCATATATGTAGAATAGATAAAAATTATACACATCAACCCCAAAAAATTACAAGATACAGTACTATATATAAAATTTGTGTTCAAAATCTGCATCACAATGGTTAAGAGCGTGCACATAAACATTAAAATTAAAATCTGAGAGTTAAAATAAATGCTTAACCCTTTGAGGGTCGACAGGCCCTCTCCGAAACTCGTTCTCAGGGTCGGCCAAATTTAAAAAAAAAAAAAATTATTTTCTCTTATGAAAAGATAGAGAATCTTTTCCCGATCATAAAGACACCAAAAGTTTGAAATTTGATAGAAAACTTACGGAATTATGCTCTCGCAAAGTTAGCGGTCTCGGCGATGTTTACGCATCGGCGATTTTGCCCACTTTGAGCCCCATTTTCGGCCAATTTCACTGTACTAGTCGACAAAAAACATGAATATTTCGCTAGAACTCCATTTTTTCTATCGAATGGATGCAAGAAACCACTCATTTATGAAATTCAACTATCCAGTACAGTGGTCAGAATTTAGCAATTTTGCCAATTTCACACAAATTTCAAAAGATGCCAATTTCGGAATAGGGTCCAGAATCCTGGCACTAAAATGACATTTCCTCTAGTCATTAGTCATGTCTCAAGTCCCCTCTTATATTCTTTTGCTTTCCACTTTGAATTTTTATTTTCACAAAAAATATAAGATTTACTGTTATGCAGACTACTGCATTAGTGTAAAAAATGGTATAAATTATTATTGGTGCACTTGTGAAAAGAATATTAGACTCACCAGTTGACGTGTATTGCACGCTTGGCACGATTTGTTTACTTTTGAAGTTTGGTAAAAATCGAACATTTCTGCTACTTTGAGCTCAATTTCAAGGCACCTTTCTTTGTAAAACCAGTCAAAATCATCTCAATTTCTGTAATATGTCTTCCATTCTATAAAATGAGACCAAGAAAACTAGAATACAACAATAAATACCATACGAAAATACACTGCAAAGTCGCTGATTTATTAAAAAAAAATGGTCAAAGTTTTTTTTTTCTCATTATGCACTGTGTGCTGCAGGATTTTTTTTAGACTGTGCACACTGACCACATAGACCCATTCTTTCATATGAAGGCCTACCAGCTTTCTCCCACTAGATTTGAGGCCGCTAGAATTTATGAGTACTAGTACGTCAAAAACCCCTACGCGTAAAACGTACTAGTACGACAAAAACCCTCAAAGGGTTAAGAGGAATCACCTCAAACACTACAGCACACCATGGGATTCCAAGGCATGTTTTTTAATTAACAATTTATTTAACAATGTAAGGTGAGCAGAGGAGAGTGGTCAACAGAATTTCACGTACTGTTGGAGATAGCGAGAGTAAGGAAATATTTAAGGAGACATTCAGGGAAATGAACAAGGTCGACTTTAATTTTGAAGTTGGGATGTACAATGCCTGCACTATGAAATTGGGATGGGGATGATGCCAACTGATGGATTAACACTGGACTCTGATGTTTGTGCCCTTCTAAAAAGACATTAAGAGAATAAGTGATGGGGAAGCATTTACCCTGATTTCAGCCACCCTGATTTAGCTATAAAAAAAATACCAATAAGTTCAGGAGAAAATTAGAGAATTCTGAACCAAAACCAGAGAACAACAGCATTTAGAGACTACTGCAAAAACCACAATACATTGTTGTAGATGGTGAAGTAGTTAAGTAAATTACACTGTAATGTCCGAACTTTAATTATGATTAGAAAGTTTTAATAATATAGTAGGCAACACATGTTCAAAAGCAAAACATAAAAAACTAAATTTTAAATGCTCAAGATAGTGTGTCTACATTAGACACTGGGGCCCCAGCTGGCATATTCAGTGATCCTTTAAGTTATATTAATCCACTCCAGAAGACGTATTGTATCTCCAAAATATCGTGACTTAAATCCCAAAATACTTGGTTTTATGGTAATTTGTTCCAAGACACCAAAATACACCCAACCTTCCCTTGGATTCTTTTTGTCGTTTAACCCTTTGACTGTTTCAGGCCCCTTTCTGAAACTGTCATTCTATGTCGCTCAATTTTTGAAAAAAAAAAAAAATTATTTTTTCTTACGAAATGATAAAGAATCTTTTCCCGATGGTAATGACACCAAAAGTTCGAAATTTGGTCGAAAACTCATGGAATTATGCTCCCACGAAGTTAGCGGTCTCGGCGACATATGCGTATCGGCAATTTCGCCGACTTTGAGCCCTATTTTCAGCCAATTCCGTTGTTCCAGTTGACCAAACTCATAGCTATTTCTTTAGAACTCCATTTTATCTATCAGCTGAGCACAAGAAACCTCCCATTTACTAATCTGGACTACCCAATATGGTGGTCACAAATTGGCAATTTGGCCAATTTCACGCAAACTAAAAAATATGCCGATTTCAAAATAGGGTCCAAAATAAACAAGGTAGACATTCTTTGCACTAAAATAACATATCCTCTGTTCATTAGTCACATCTCTAGGCCCCTCTTATATTATTATTGCTTTCTATTTTGATTTTTTATTCATACAAAAAAATACAAAATTTACTGTTATGCAGACTACTGCATTATTGTAAAAATGGTATAAATAATATCAGTGCACTAGTGAAAGAATATTAGACTCCCCAGTTGACGTGTACTGAACATTGGTAAAAATCGAACATTTTCGCTACTTTGAGCTCAGTTTCAAGGTCGTTTTCATCGTCAAAGTAATGAAAATCATCTCTATTTCTGTAATATGTTTTCCATTTTATCACCTAAGACCATGAAAAAGCGAATACAACGATAAATACTATACGAAAATACACCTCAAAGTCAGCGTTTTATTCCAAAAAAACGATCAGTTTTTATTTCTCATTACGCAATGTGCGCTGCAGGATTTTTTTTATGTGGTGCACACTGACCACACAGACCCATTCTCTCACATGTGGGCCTACCAGCTTTCTCCCGCTTGATTTGAAGCCGCTAGAATTATTGAGTATATATACGTCAGAAACATTGGCTCGTAAGACGTATTTATACGTCGAAAACAGTCAAAGGGTTAAAATTACTAGGGTTTTCTGAGTGATAAAAGCAAAGACTGCAGCCTGAAATATCCAGGATATGGGAGGATAGAGCAAAGCAGGGCAGGGGAGGGCAGGGCAAGGGCAGCACAAGGGCAGGGGCAAGACAGGGGCAGGGCAGGCAGAGAGAGGGAGGCATGAAGATTTGTATAGAATTGTAGACTTAATCTTCTCATTGTCACTGCCTCCCACTGACCAAGTCTGGTACATGTATGGTCTCCCTCCCTCCCTCCCTCCACCACTCCTTCCACTCACCTCCAACACACTGTCCACCATCACTCCATATAAGACCTTACCATCACACTGTCTTGTCTCTCGGCAGAGGCCTACCCACTCCTGCAGAACATTGTACATGTATTGTATCTCAAATTTTTCATTGCAACTCAAAACTAAATTTCTTTACCAGGGCAAATTGTAACTCAAAATTATCATAACTGTAGCCGATCATAATTCAACGGGCCAATGTACAGTCGTCCCCCGGTTCGCGAAGTCACCGGTAACCGATAAATCCGGTATCCGAAGCATTATATCGCAAAAAATTTGCCCCGGTTCCCGTAACAAAACCCGGAACGTGATACGATTCATACGAGACGTGTCCACATGTGGCCTGAACTCCCCCATGAATGCCAGTGTTTACAAGCCAGCCAGTGTGCGCGCATCTAAGGATACATTTGGTACATTCCATATTATCACTGTTTCTGGTACTTGTTTCTGCAAAGTAAGTCGCCATGGGCCCCAAGAAAGCTTCAAGTGCCAACCCTTCCAGACCAAGGGTGCTAATGACTATTAAAATGAAGAAAGAGATAAATGCAAAGTATGAAAGTGGAGTGCGTGTGTCGGACCTGGCCAAGTTGTACAGTAAATCCCAATCAACCATCTCTACTATAGCGAGCAGGAAAATGGCAATCAAGGAAGCTGTTCTTGCAAAAAGGTGCAACTGTGATTACAAAACAGTGATCGCAAGTGTTAGAAAATGTTGAGAGACTGTTATTGGTGTGGATAAATGAAAAAACAGATAGCAGGAGATAGCATCTCTCAAGCGATCATTTGTGAAAAGGCTAGGCAGTTGCATGACGATTTGGTAATGAAATTGCCTGCAACTAGTGGTGATTTGAGTGAATTTAAGACCTGCAAAGGTTGGTTTGAAAGATTTAAGAATCGTAGTGGCATACATAGTGTGATTAGGCATGGTGAGGCTGCCAGTTCAGACCACAAAGTGGCTGAAAATTATGTGCATTAATTCAAGAAGTACATAGAGGCTGAAGGACTGAAACCTGAACAAGTGTTTAACTGTGACGAAACAGGCCTGTTTTGGAAGAAATTGCCAAGCAGGACCTACATCACTCAGGAGGAAAAGACACTCCCAGGACATAAGCGTATGAAAGACAGGCTTACTCTTCCCATGTGTGACAATGCTAGTGGTGATTGCAAAGTGAAGCCTTTATTGGTGTATCACTCAGAAACTCCTAGAGCGTTCAGGCAAAAGAATATCCTCAAGGCTAATTTGTGTGTGCTGTGGAGGGCAAACACTAAGGCATGGGTCACTAGAGACTTTTTCTATGACTGGTTACACCATGCATTTGCCCCCACTGTGAAAAATTACCTAATTGAAAAGTAATTAGACCTTAAGTGCCTCCTGGTGTTAGACAATGCCCCTGGTCATCCTACAGACTTGT